TATGTCAGCGCTGGATACTATTTTGGCTTTATATTCAATTTTTCCGGATAAAGTTTAGCTAAAAAGTGCCGGTTGATTTTGATTTTACGGACAGCCCGCCTCATTATTGTTGATTTATTTTACCTAAAAATTTGTTACTGACAAAGTTTCAAAATTAGTTATGAGATCAAAAAAAATCTGTACTCAAACGTCAAATACACTCGGACTTCTTTTAACAACTTTAAAAAATTACTTTTCTAGTTTTTTTTTAACGAAAACATTGTTTGAAAACTCTTTTGCTATTTTTTGACCTTCAAATTGATTAAATATGCTTCTGTATTAGCAATTTGCTTCTGTTTTTAGTCTTGAAGGCAAAAATTCCAAAAGTTTTTTTTTAGTATCTTGTTCAGACCATAGTTTGATTGGACTCTGCGCAATTTGTGATTCAATCATTTTCGATTTTTTTATCCCCGCTCAATCAAAGGTTCAAGCTCATTCGGCCCGTGAATCTACACTCGGTTTGACTCTTGTTTCGTCTCTGTTTGCCTATGATTTGAGCCTATTCTATTATATCGATCCTGTTCGATTCATGACTCAATCCTGATCAACCCATGTTTTCATTTTGCTTGATGCAAGCTTTTGTTCGATTGTCCTAATTTGCGTCAAAAATTGTATTTGCTTGTTGGAACATTATTGTCGAATCAAGAGTCAAGCACCTCAACCCGAAAACGAGCCATCGTCAGACTTTTTTCAACGTTCTGGTTTTAATCTCTGAATGATTAATGCGTCAAAAATTATGATCTGCCACCAGCATTAGTAAAAAAATTTGAAAGCTGCGATAATAATTTTTGTTCAAAAACTCGTGTGGATCTAAATGTAAATTTACCTGAATGCGGACGAAGAATAAGTTTCCAGCTGGCGTAACGCCGTTCACAATAGTTTGAACCAATGAAGATTTCACATCAATCGAAGAGTCATTTTTAGCCGAAAACGAATCGATTAGTAGCAGAGTAAACAAAAAGTTCAGAAATAATTGTGTTTTGCTCATCCGATTTATATCTTTCAAGGCATAAACCACGGTGACAAAAAATTAAAATGACCTAACTGACCCCAAACAAAATAAATATTAATGCAAAGTGGCACAACATCAAGCTAGTATATAACAAAATGACAAAATCTCTTGAACTATAATTCAAGGGTAGTAAGACATTTCAATCTTGATTATCAGTAAATTTGTTTTATTTCAAAAACAATGAAACAATGAGTTTTTTTAATAACTTTTTCAATAGTTTGAATTTTCTCGTTTCGAGTCAAGGAACAAAAAGCGTACGAAAAAGTCCTTGAGCAGACCAGCGTAATGAGCTGATGCATGATTGGTTGATATACTAATAAAACGCTCAAAATTGGGTCAAGTTTCCCAAATTAAGACATTTATCAAATCTTTCAACTTCAAAAAAGCACATTAGCGGCAAAAAAAAGACTTACGCGCAAAATAACATTCTTGACAGTAGCGTGCCGAGGAAGTGCGGCCGGGATGACGCGGGTCCCAATTTTTTTCGAGGTTTTTCGCGACTTTCTTCACAATTACAAAAACCAAAATAAACAGGCTTATCCGGTGATTCTTGCAGTCTTAACGGTTGAAGTTTTACACGAGTTCCTTTGGGACAATTTGGATTAAAATTTTATGTGATTAAATATGCTGGGGCAAAAAAATTGGCAAATTTCCACGCAAACACAATTCAAATTCATCAGAAAGACAAAATCGGAAAAAAAAGTTCATCAAAATGACAAAATCGAAAAAAAAACAAATAACTCACGGGTTCACAATTTTTTTCAAGATTACAAACATAAACCAACCAAACACCGATTTGGATCTAGATTTGACCGGTCCAATGCAACCTAGCGACAATTTTTACACAACTTCTCAAACCTTATCGAGATTGTCAGAAATTTGCTATTTTCTTTGCTAAACTTTTTCGCTATAGGTTGCTGTGAATCATAGAGCGTGAATCATGAAGCGGTTAAAACGGCTTTCGTTCAGTAGTTATAAGGCATAATTTCTGATTTGTGTAAACCACTTTTCATTCAGTACTTAAATGTCAGCGCTGGATACTATTTTGGCTTTATATTCAATTTTTCCGGATAAAGTTTAGCTAAAAAGTGCCGGTTGATTTTGATTTTACGGACAGCCCGCCTCATTATTGTTGATTTATTTTACCTAAAAATTTGTTACTGACAAAATTTCAAAATTAGTTATGAGATCAAAAATCTGTACTTAAACGTCAAATACACTCGGACTTCTTATAACAACTTTAAAAAATTCCTTTTCTAGTTTTTTTATCAAAAACATTGTTTGAAAACTCTTTTGCTATTTTTTGACCTTCAAATTGATTAAATATGCTTCTGTATTAGCAATTTGCTTCTGTTTTCAGTCTTGAAGGCAAAAATTCCAAAAAAAATTTTTAGTATCTTGTTCAGCCCATAGTTTGATTGGACTCTGCGCAATTTGTGATTCAATCATTTTCGATTTTTTTATCCCCGCTCAATCAAAGGTTCAAGCTCATTCGGCCCGTGAATCTACACTCGGTTTGACTCTTGTTTCGCCTCTGTTTGCCTATGATTTGAGCCTATTCTATTATATCGATCCTGTTCGATTCATGACTCAATCCTGATCAACCCATCTTTCCACTTTGCTTGACGCAAGCTTTTGTTCGATTGTCCTAATTTGCGTCAAAAATTGTATTTCCTTGGAACATTATTGTCGAATCAAGAGTCAAGCACTCAACCCGAAAACGAGCCATCGTCAGACTTTTTTCAACGTTCTGGTTTTAATCTCTGAACGATTAATGCGTCAAAAATTATGATCTGCCACCAGCATTATAAAAAAATTTGAAAGCTGCGATAATAATTTTTGTTCAAAAACTCGTGTGGATCTAAATGTAAATTTACCTGAATGCGGACGAAGAATAAGTTTCCAGCTGGCGTAACGCCGTTCACAATAGTTTGAACTAATGAAGATTTCACATCAATCGAAGAGTCATTTTTAGCCGAAAACGAATCTATTAGTAGCAGAGTAAACAAAAAGTTCAGAAATAATTGTGTTTTGCTCATCCGATTTATATCTTTCAAGGCATAAACCACGGTGACAAAAAATTAAAATGACCTAACTGACCCCAAAGAAAATAAATATTAATGCAAAGTGGCGCAACATCAAGCTAGTATATAACAAAATGGCAAAATCTCTTGAACTATAATTCAAGGGTAGTAAGACATTTCAATCTTGATTATCAGTAAATTTGTTTTATTTCAAAAACAATGAAACAATGAGTTTTTTTAATAACTTTTTCAATAGTTTGAATTTTCTCGTTTCGAGTCAAGGAACAAAAAGCGTACGAAAAAGTCCTTGAGCAGACCAGCGTAATGAGCTGATGCATGATTGGTTGATATACTAATAAAACGCTCAAAATTGGGTCAAGTTTCCCAAATTAAGACATTTATCAAATCTTTCAACTTCAAAAAAGCACATTAGCGGCAAAAAAAAGACTTACGCGCAAAATAACATTCTTGACAGTAGCGTGCCGAGGAAGTGCGGCCGGGATGACGCGGATCCCAATTTTTTTTCGAGGTTTTTGCGACTTTCTTCACAATTACAAAAACCAAAATAAACAGGCTTATCCGGTGATTCTTGCAGTTTTAACGGTTGAATTTTTACACGAGTTCCTTTGGGACAATTTGGATTAAAATTTTATGTGATTAAATATGCTGGGCCAAAAAATTTGGCAAATTTCCACGCAAACACAATTCAAATTCATCAGAAAGACAAAATCGGAAAAAAAGGTCATCAAAATGACAAAATCGAAAAAAAAAAACAAATAACTCACGGATTCACAATTTTTTTCAAGATTACAAACATAAAACAACCAAACACCGATTTGGATCTAGATTTGACCGGTCCAATGCAACCTAGCGACAATTTTTACACAACTTCTCAAACCTTATCGAGATTGTCAGAAATTTGCTATTTTCTTTGCTAAACTTTTTCGCTATAGGTTGCTGTGAATCATAGAGCGTGAATCATGAAGCGGTTAAAACGGTTTTCGTTCAGTAGTTATAAGGCATAATTTCTGATTTGTGTAAACCACTTTTCATTCAGTACTTATATGTCAGCGCTGGATACTATTTTGGCATTATATTCAATTTTTCCGGATAAAGTTTAGCTAAAAAGTGCCGGTTGATTTTGATTTTACGGACAGCCCGCCTCATTATTGTTGATTTATTTTACCTAAAAATTTGTTACTGACAAAATTTCAAAATTAGTTATGAGATCAAAAAAAATCTGTACTCAAACGTCAAATACACTCGGACTTCTTATAACAACTTTAAAAAATTACTTTTCTAGTTTTTTTTTAACAAAAACATTGTTTGAAAACTCTTTTGCTATTTTTTGACCTTCAAATTGATTAAATATGCTTCTGTATTAGCAATTTGCTTCTGTTTTCAGTCTTGAAGGCAAAAATTTCAAAAAAAATTTTTTAGTATCTTGTTCAGACCATAGTTTGATTGGACTCTGCGCAATTTGTGATTCAATCATTTTCGATTTTTTATCCCCGCTCAATCAAAGGTTCAAGCTCATTCGGCCCGTGAATCTACACTCGGTTTGACTCTTGTTTCGTCTCTGTTTGCCTATGATTTGAGCCTATTCTATTATATCGATCCTGTTCGATTCATGACTCAATCCTGATCAACCCATGTTTTCACTTTGCTTGACGCAAGCTTTTGTTCGATTATCCTAATTTGCGTCAAAAATTGTATTTGCTTGGAACATTATTGTCGAATCAAGAGTCAAGCACCTCAACCCGAAAACGAGCCATCGTCAGACTTTTTTCAAGGTTCTGGTTTTAATCTCTGAATGATTAATGCGTCAAAAATTATGATCTGCCACCAGCATTATAAAAAAATTTGATAGCTGCGATAATAATTTTAGTTCAAAAACTCGTGTGGATCTAAATGTAAATTTACCTGAATGCGGACAAAGAATAAGTTTCCAGCTGGCGTAACGCCGTTCACAATAGTTTGAACTAATGAAGATTTCACATACACTCGGACTTCTTATAACCCACTTTAAAAAATTACTTTTCTGGTTTTTTTAACAAAAACATTGTTTGAAAACTCTTTTGCTATTTTTTGGCCTTCAAATTGATTAAATATGCTTCTGTATTAGCAATTTGCTTCTGTTTTCAGTCTTGAAGGCAAAAATTCCAAAAAAAAGTTTTTAGTATCTTCTTCAGCCCATAGTTTGATTGGACTCTGCGCAATTTGTGATTCAATCGTTTTCGATTTTTTTAAATCCCCGCTCAATCAAAGGTTCAAGCTCATTCGGCCCGTGAATCTACACTCGGTTTGACTCTTGTTTCGTCTCTGTTTGCCTATGATTTGAGCCTATTCTATTATATCGATCCTGTTCGATTCATGACTCAATCCTGATCAATCCATGTTTTCACTTTGCTTGACGCAAGCTTTTGTTCGATTGTCCTAATTTGCGTCAAAAATTGTATTTCCTTGGAACATTATTGTCGAATCAAGAGGCAAGCACCTCAACCCGAAAACGAGCCATCGTCAGACTTTTTTCAACGTTCTGGTTTTAATCTCTGAATGATTAATGCGTCAAAAATTATGATCTGCCACCAGCATTATAAAAAAATTTGAAAGCTGCGATAATAATTTTTGTTCAAAAACTCGTGTGGATCTAAATGTAAATTTACCTGAATGCGGACGAAGAATAAGTTTCCAGCTGGCGTAACGCCGTTCACAATAGTTTGAACTAATGAAGATTTCACATCAATCGAAGAGTCATTTTTAGCCAAAAACGAATCTATTAGTAGCAGAGTAAACAAAAAGTTCAGAAATAATTGTGTTTCGCTCATCCGATTTATATCTTTCAAGGCATAAACCACGGTGACAAAAAATTAAAATGACCTAACTGACCCCAAAGAAAATAAATATTAATGCAAAGTGGCACAACATCAAGCTAGTATATAACAAAATGACAAAATCTCTTGAACTATAATTCAAGGGTAGTAAGACATTTCAATCTTGATTATCAG